CGTTTTTTTTTCTTTTTCTTTTCTTTTAAGTCTTGTCTTGCACTCCCTTCCCCCCATTGTTGTAAGCCGCCCTGAGTCCCCTCAGGGAAAAGGGCGGCATATAAATGTTCACTAAAATCTAAAATCTAAAATCTAAAATCTCACCAGGCTCAAGGTTAACTCAGCCTTTCCTCCTTCCAAGGTGGATAAAATGAGGACCCAGTTTGTTGGGGGCAATAGGCTGACTCTGTAAACCGCTTAGAGGTCTGTAAAAGCACTGTGAAGTGGTATAAGTCTAAGTGCTATTGCTGCTATTGCTATTGGTACTTTGATATGTCTCCCACTGTTTTCTGTGGGGGACAGAAAGGAGAAGTGCATGGTGGATCAGTGTTTCTGTTATTAACACTAATAATCCACAATGGGGCAGAGTTTATAATTTATCCATGGGTGCAATGAAATTCACACTACTCTGTGATAAGCTGATGGTTTCTGGGAAGAATATTCAATATCCCCTGTGTTAAACAGGAATCACACTGGCAAATCTGGGCAAAGAAAATAGAGAACTTAATATCTGGAGAAAATACACTGTATGCACTTGTGCCCCATATCTAATTATGTTTTTCATATTTACTCTAAAACCCACTATACATCCTTGGGAAAAAGAAAGATTACTTTAATGTTCACACAAAGCCATATTAAAATTAAGAAACACTGAAGTCACTTTTTGTTTCTTTCTATGGCCATATATGATCCCTTGCAGATTGTTATTACCTAACGGTAATTATAGTACAGCAAGATTGTGCTCTCTTCTTATTGTTCTCACCTGGATTTCAGAGTGCTTTATTTTTCAGAATTTTCATTTTCATGAACTCTCACAAGGCAGAGATGCATCTCTTTGATACTGTAACTTGATATAAACTTGAACAAAGTCCTACTAATAACTGGTTTATGCTTTCTTTTTCTGGGTGAAAATAATTATTAGGCAGTCCAAAATGACCGTTTTCTGCTGCTTGTTCCCTCTTTTGTCTAATTATGCATTCTGTTATTACCACTTTATTATTTTTTTCCTGATGGGAAAAATTTAACATTTTTAATAATATATAGTTTTGGAACAGAGCTTGCTAAGAACAACAAGAAACAGAAAAAAAGGCCTACTTCAAATGTTTCTTTGCAAAGTTACTGATTTTTTAATTGTAGTTTCTTGCTCTACCATTGTTTAGGTGGGTTCTAATAAATTAAGTACTATAATTATTCTTATTCATAAAGTATAACTTCTGCATTTTAATTCAGTTTAATATGAATTTATACAGGGTAATATGGTGGTATTAGTGGGTTTCAGATAGATGTTATTTTAAACTTTGGGGAGTAATTAAAATCTGTCCATGATGGCATTACCAGAAGTATATAAATATTTTAAAAGCCACGGGAATCCATGCATGTTTACACACAGTGTAAAGTATTCAAAATATGTAATGGTTCACATATTGGACTTGCCAAACTGATAGAAGATTCAGTGAAATGAATGGGACTTAAATGTTATCATATTTCTAGTATTTAAGTCAATAGGACATGAAAAAACAACTTTATTTTATCACTAACTGTGGATCCTAATATGGGCTGTTAAAAATGACTTTATACAGTACAAAAGCAATTTAAATCAGTATTCTAGAACAGGGACCCAACCAAGGAACCTTTTGGTGTGAGAGATGACAACATTGTGGTTGCTGGTTGGGAATTGTAAGAACTGAACATATTTGGAATTACTGGCTGAGACAAGCTTCCTGCAGTGTTTCTTTCACATGGTTGCAAATTACCTCCATTATCGCAACCAGGTATCTGTCTGGCTTAAGGCCCTATACAATGATGTTCTATTTGGAACCCTGACAGTATCCTTTGGTCCAATCAAATTAATTCCTATCAAATCCAACAGTTATGGCAGTGGGAGTTGCATGAAACCTCCAGCAGGAGGTGGCTGCCGAATTGGTGGCAGAATCTACCTCCCCCTCCCACCTTGTTCTTCCATCCATCCATCTTTTTTGGCTATCATATTGATGTATTTTCATTGTGTTCATTGTGAAAACATTATTTATTTTAATGTTCTATTATCTTACGCCTCTATACTCTTTTCATTTCTTCCTTTTTATTGCTGGGTGCTGCCTAGGGTAGCCCCATGGCAAGAGAGGTGGCAAATACATTAACAAATAGATAAACATCTGTGGGAAGCACAAGAGTCCCTTCTACTACATCATGGTGCACCATGTTTGAAGGAATTGAGGTCTCCTAAGTGGCTGCTGATTATTTTTGGAGGTTTTTTCTCACTGAGATACTATATATATATATATATATATATATATATATATATATATATATATATATAGATATATATATATATATATATATATATATGTGTGTGTGTGTGTGTGTGTGTGTGTGTACACACATAGTGTATATATATAGCAATAGCAGTAGCAGTAGACTTATATACCGCTTCATAGGGCTTTCAGCCCTCTCTAAGCGGTTTACAGAGAGTCAGCATATTGCCCCCAACAATCTGGGTCCTCATTTTACCCACCTCGGAAGGATGGAAGGCTGAGTCAACCCTGAGCCGGTGAGATTTGAACCGCTGAACTGCTGATCTAGCAGTAGCCTGCAGTGCTGCATTTAACCACTGCGCCACCTCATATAGTGTCTAAGAAATATTTCAATAGTTTGACTAAAATCCCACAAATGAGATTTACTGCCAGAGAACCTGGAAGTAGCCAATGAATCATTTTTGACAAGGACCCAGAGAAAACTATGAAAGTATGATAGTGAATTTCAATGTGTTTTCATTAAATTGAAACGGAAATGTTAATGAAAGAAAGGGAAAAAAACCTAAGTATACAGAGATAAGCTTTGATGAAGAAAATAACGAAGGATTCTCTTAAGATAAATCTCATCAACATTCCTTGAGAATGTCAATAGGCACTTGGAAGGAAGTGGCTTTGTTCATATTCCAGCATCCATAGTTCCTCATCAAAGCCTGAATAAACTTGGTAATAATGAGATAATATAATTCACATGGAGTTAAATACATGTGAACTGATGTACGCTTGGGGAGGGAGGATTCACATATAATTGAATGGATCTGAGGCATTTATAAAGTAACCAGAAAAATGAAAATGTAGTCAAAGTGGCAGTTCAGTGAAAATGCCAACTCAAAACAAAACTGCCACTAGGGTAATGTTCACATGTACGTTTGTTTACAAGATAAAATAACCTTTAATGTCACTTTTCTGCATACACAATGGCACACATTAAAATTAAATTCTGATACCCGCTCTGAAACACTGAACACACACACACACACACACACACACACACACACACACATGCGCATGCACACACACACGTATACATATACCATACATATATATGAACACATATACTTTACATATGTATACATACATACATAGTATATACATATATGCATATGTTAATCACAAAATATATTGTTTATTTCTTGCTACCAGATTTTTTAAAAAAATACAACTGGGAAAAAATATAGAAGACAGCAAGCAAAATGAGTGAAAGTGTACAACAGCTTTTGTACAAAGGGAAGATGTTTGGAACTGTTTAACGTAGAAAAAAAAAGATCACTTGTGGGAAAATATGATCAAACTTCATAAAGTCAAATATGGCATGGAGAAAAAAGGCAAGGAGAATTTGTTCTCCTGTTTTTCAAAACACTAGAGTTGTTGCAACTGTTTGAAAGGAGATTTAGTAGAAGCAAAACAAAATATTTAAACATAGGAATGCATAACTGTGGGGTTAATGGACTCCATCTTGGATTTCACTAAAGAGGAATGGTATCAGTTAATAAAGAATGTGCTTATTAAGGGCTAATGATATCGGGGCTTTAGCATAAGCTCCATGAGCAGCATGCCTCCAAATCCCAGTGGCAACAGAACAATGATGGGAGAAGTGTGTGTCACTCTCTTCTACTTGTGAGCTCACCAAAGACATATGAAGGCCACCATGAAATGAAATGCTGGAGTTGGATGTAATTTGGCATGATCTAGTACAACTTCAATATATTCTTGTAAACTACATTTGTACTTTTAAAAATAATGAGAAAGCAATTCCTCCTACAGTATGATTTAAAACTACATAGACATACATGAACAAACTGTAAATCAAAGGTATGAAAGTGGCTACTAATTGCTTTCCTCATGATGATTTTTCTGATATCTTTCTCTTGAGTTTCCATTACCTGGTATCTGGTGGGATTATTGTAGGCATTCTTCAGGATAATGTCTGACTTTGGAGTACTTGATTCGAAATGAACTTTCTGAAATATATAAAAATAGGGCATTTCATCATAACATTATCGAACTAATTCAAAGAAAATATCCACAAATATGAGTTGCCCAATGCCCATGGAGAACTGCATTATGTAGGAAAGAAAATCCTTATACGATTTGATTAAAACATTCTGTAATTTTGTTTTGTATTTAAATGGCTAATATTCTTCCTAGCTGGCTGGTAATTCATCCTGTGTAAAAGAGACATTGTGAAGTCCTCTGCAGCCTGGAAAAACTGAACGTTCTTCCAGAGTTGAGACATAAATTCCTTTAGTTATTCTGAACACCCAAGACAAATATTGGAAGGATACCTTCATTTTAGGATTTAGGATTTATACAACCATTTGATATTTAGAATTATGTTTATACACTTATCTATTTCACTTGTGAATTCCAGTCGAGGATATTGTATAGATAAAGACATCTTATTAACCCTGTCTCAAAGACATAGCCTAATTTGGTCCACCATCAATAACCCCATTTGAACATCTGCAAAGCTTATGGAATTAAGCTTTCCGTACAAGCCATAATAGCAATAGCAATAGCAGTGGACTTATATACCGCTTCATAGGCCTTTCAGGCCTCTCTAAGCGGTTTACAGAGAGTCAGCATATTGCCCCCAACAATCTGGGTCCTCATTTTACCCACCTCGGAAGGATGGAAGGCTGAGTCAACCCTGAGCCGGTGAGATTTGAACCGCTGACCTGCTGATCTAGCAGTAGCCTGCAGTGCTGCATTTAACACACTGCGCCACCTTGGCTCTTACATGGTGATAGTAAAGGTTCAATGCATGTGACTTTCCCCAAATGTAGACCCATATCATATATAACTACAGGTATCAGGGCAGCAGCTGAAAAACCATGTGATCAATGGCTGCAACTTTCTATGCATGCTTCTCTGGACATTTGAAGATGTGCTATGTCAGATCTATTTAGCAATACCAACAATAGCATTTAGACTTATTTACCACTTCACACTGCTTTACAGCCATCTCTAAGCAGTTTACAGAGTCAGCATATTGCCCCCAACAATTTGGGTCCTCATTTTACCCACCTTGGAAGGATGGAAGGCTGAGTCAACCTTGAGCCGGTGAGATTTGAACTGCCAATTGCAGTCAGCTGGCAGTCAGCCAAAATAGCTGCAGTACTGCACTCTAAGCACTACACCACCGTGGCTCATTAGATATAGATATCCATAACTGAAGAACTCACCCAAGTGACGGTTACCCCCAAAAGGGTAACTGATCAGTTCATTACTTGTATCATATATATTAAAACAGATAGAGTTGGTAGCTGACCATTAAAAAAATAAAGTCCAGTCAAATGAAACCTGTCTTTGTGCCTTTAATAGAATCTTTCTTTCAAAATCCGAGGGCAAAACTTTCCCTCTTTGGCAATATACATTATCTCTGGTAAGATCTTCTATCTGAGACACTACAGAACAAAGGTAAGGTCCTATTCAAAGACTAAGAATTCAAACATGACATACTGGGGTACTGATAAAGGAAATGACTGTGTCACTGGGTGTGTGATCTAATGCAACTCTCTATATTGTGTCTATTATTTTGCTTTTAAGAACTTGGCCATTAACTGGCAAATTGGAAACTGATGGACACAATGAGGCCAATAGATTTTTTTTTCTTTTGAAGAAAAAAGGGCATTAGATAGCTTTATGGATGTACTTTTTAAGATAGAGTTACTGGCTTTATTTCTTTGCTCTTGAAAAACTTCCAAGCTTTGTGTGTGTGTGTATGTTCCAGCATAATTCTGGAATGCCTCAAGCAATTTCAACCAAATTTGGTACACAGATTACTTACTCACTGGAAACAAATACTGTGGGGTAAGACACCCCTAACAGTCCTGAGGGGTGTGTGTGTTCTGTTAGGATACAGCCTGTTGTGCTTTAAAATGGCTTCTACCATACTGCCATAAAATGGCTTTTACTGTACAGTGCTGTGGAGTTGCCATGGTAATGGCGTCATAGTACTCCACAAGGGTGGTAAGAGGGAAAATCCAACATATGAAATTGCGCCAATTTCAGGGAAGGAGGGTTGGGATAAATAAATACCCAGGCAGCACAGGGTTATCAGCTAGTGCTAAATAAATTAAAAGTTAATCTTAGAGTATTATATGCTCTTTTTTGAACTAGCAGTATTTTCAGACTAAGAAACAAGTTTATCTCTGATTTCATTTTGAAATAAAGAACATGCCAAGACAATTTCCTCTGGAAATAACAATTCAGCTATTATTGTAAGTATATATCATAAGGTTTTATTGGATTTTTCTTCTATTAAAATGAATGATTGCCCATGATATACAGAATGGATTAGCTGATCTTTTACACAGCATATTTCTAATTACTTTTTTGTTTCCTTCTGTCATAAATAATAGGATGAATTGGAAATGGAAAAGAGCAAAAAATGTCTTTGTGACTTTATGGCTTTGCATCTTGTATGTATGTATGTATGTATGTATGTATGTATGTATGTATGTATGTATGTATGTATGTATAATAATGGATCATCTTTTCACTGGAGGATGTATGCTTTAGAATAAGCTTTTCTGTTTTTTAACCACTTTGGAAATAGTCACATTCTTGTTATTTATACCACAATTTCTGTTGAATGATGCAAATTTTTTTTAGAACTGGGCAATGGGGTTTGATTATGTCCTCTCATCAATGTGTCCCAGAGTGATCTAGTGATATTTCTGGCCACAAGAAATACCCATTGAGAACAAATTAGGTATTACAACCCAAAAACCTATTGGGTAGTTCTTTAGATACAACTCCCCCCCCCACATCAAAATTGTCCTGTTAATTAATTACATGAAGTCTAGGCTTCTATGATTATTGAATGAATGAAATGTTTATACTTGTTTTCACATAAATACAAGGAGATAGTGAAAAGTCAGTAAATGTTATTGGAGGAAAATACTGACTACATACATATATAAAAATAAAGAAAAAGAGTAATCCGTGTTTTTGATCTGAATCAAGCATTCTCAACTTTTTAAAGATCTGTTTAGCTGCTATTGCACTTTCTGGGTAGGGTAAAATCAGAAGCAAATGTTGTGTACCCTCCCACTTCAACTCCCCATAAAGAGACAGACCCAGTAAACATTTTATGATATTTGTTTATGTTGAATTAATAACAAAGAGCAGCAGAAAACCTTGAAGAAAACACTTCCATTTTCAATTCAGAATAAAAGTCAGAAGGGACCTTGGAGGTCTTCTAGTCCAACTGCCAGGAAGCAGAAGATCATATTCCATTCCAGACAAATGGCTGTCCAATCTCTTCTTAAAAACTTTTAGTATTAGAGTACCTACAAATTCTGAAGGCAAGCCCTTCCACTGATTAATTGCTCTTACTATCCATAACTGTGTTCAGTGTTATAGTCATCAATAGGGCTGTTCCATTTAACTGTCTGCTTTTGAGCACATATTTCCAGTCCCTCAAACTTCTTAACTATTTACTTTAGCTACTTTTTTAAAAAAAAAATCAGATTGAATTTAAGGACAAACACAGATTGTATTTGCTCTATAAAACAAATAGGTTAACAGGTAGTTGACATTCATTTACATGTCTTTACTTTACTTAAAAATAAAAAGCCACCATATATATATTTATATAGTACTGCCTTTGGCTCTCAGAAAAATTTATGTATCCAACACCAGGATTGTGATGTCACTGAAAGACATTGCATCTCCTAGAACAGGGTGTCAAAGTCATGGCCTGTGGACTGGTCACGCACTGGCCATGCCCACTCCTGGTTTAGTGAAGGGGGGGGGGAAGTCATGATATAGCATGTGCCGACAACGTGATGCCATGAATTTAGCAATAGCAATAGCAGTTAGATTTATATACCGCTTCATAGGGCTTTCAGCCCTCTCTAAGCAGTTTACAGAGTCGGCATATTGCCCCCACAATCTGGGTCCTCATTTTACCCACCTCGGAAGGATGGAAGGCTGAGTCAACCCTGAGCCAGTGAGATTTGAACCGCCGAACTGCAGAACTAGCAATCAGCTGAAGTGGCTCCAGTACTGCACCCTAACCACTGCGCCACCTCGGCTCTTTGACACTCCATTTGTTCTAGGAAGTTTATACAGCATCAAGAGTGAGTCCTTCAAAAGAGCTTGCAATGGCTGCTAATTTGTCAATTTTTTGAAAGATTGAAAAAAGATAAATGGGTTTGCTTGGATATGCTTCACATTTAGTAAGTTTACAAAGCCAACCCCAGTCCCATTCATCCAGAAAAAGATTAAAAATAGCCACATTTAACCCCATCATAAAACCTGTCAGGGAAACGCCTAGATTTACTTTCAACAAGATCCCTCGGTTTTTTTTTTTTTAAAAAAAAAACTCTGCTGTAGTTCTAAGACCATTTATAATACACCTTCCCATCCCTTACATTATTAAACTAAGACTGGAAGCTATAGCAGCTTCCTGTAGCCTTCTTTGATTTATTTACATATCTTTATTGCAGTTGTGGAGTTTTGTTGTTGCCTGAAGCAGAATTAATGCAGGCAAATATTTGTAACATTTTAAACACAGCTGTTTCCTCACAGGTTATAATTTGCTGGTTTTAGTAAAACAGTTTCCATAACAAGCTTCAGGCAATTTTTCAAAATCCAGGAATGCACAAATGGAATCCTGTGTGGGACAAACCTTACTATATGTTGATAGCCAGACAAATAGAAGTTACCTACCAGGACGGTGCAGTTTTCTTTGATAAACTCTCAAGTGATATACCACTTTGGAGCGGATTTGCAAAACAACCCAGCCCCCTCACTCCTATGAATGGAATATAATGAACCATGCATTGGTATATCAAAACCCGTATATTGTCACAAGCATATAATGCCAATTGAAGCTTTAGCGGTAACTTTATGCCATGTAATTGCATAAATGGATTTGTCTGCTGGTCTGCAGTATTTGTAACTGAAGATTCTGGATGGAAGGCTCTAGGGATAAATATGAAGCAACATAAAACAAACACCCAGGCCAAATGCAACCTCAACAGATGTGTGCCTGAAACTATCATCCATGATTGAAAGCACAGTGGAATAAATGTGGCTTAGTAGTTTTCCAAAATGCCAGGAGGGAGGGTGCTGCACAGACCACAAGGAGAAGAGAGTTCCACAAATGTGTATTAATTGTGGTATGTGAAAGCTTCACTCAAAGCAGACAAAAGGGAAAAAGACAGAAAGTGTTGTTCAGAAAGATTTCAGCTTATGCAGCTTGTGAAGGATAAGAACTTCTCATTCAAAAATGTGGGTTTATGCACCTGAAGAGGAAAGAGCATTTTTCCTTGTGGAAATGTAACAGATGCCAAGATGGGTCTAATCAAACTTTGCTGGGCTCATCAAGCCTTGTTGGAAGGTATAAAGATGGAACACATGGTATAAGGTAGCATACAAAGTGGGTGTCCTGTTTCATTGCTTCAAGAACTCAAACCAAACCAGCTAAATAGACTTTGACTCAAATAGATGTATACATGCCTTTCAGATTTTGTGAATGGGCAAAGCTCTATGTTCAGAAACTGAACAATAAATGTTGCAAAACGTGTACTTGTTGCTATGCATCTGATTTTCTGATTGAAAATAGCACTTGAGGTGTTTCAAGTATATAAAAACTGGTTCACGCAGATGCATCTTAAAACCTTCACTGTAAAAGAGATTGGATCAATTGACCTCCATGATTCCTTCTGTTTCTGATTCACTATTTCCTTGATAAAACATTCCTAGGTAATGAATATATTGGAATAATACACAAATTATCATATATGTGCTTCCCCTGAATTTTGGAAGACCACAGACAAAACATCTTGTGATATTGCATGTAGCTTCTATAACATCTGTTAGGTAACAGTATGTATATGCTATTTAGTCTCTTGGATGGTTGCATACTTGCCATAATGTTAACTCTAACCCTAACCCTAACCCTAGTTCTAATTGTAACCCTTTATGGTTTGTTTTTGTCATATTAATTTGGACAACATGAAGTTTTCAACATCTTTTGGGAGTTTCCAGGTCACTTTTGGATTAGAAAGATTCAATTTAAACATTTTGGGGTTTTTGAGGATCTAGGTAATGGTTTAAAGGTTTGAAATGAATACTTTAAGACTTGCATGCATTTCAGTTCTTAAACTTTCAATGTGGATGCACAAAATCGAACTGATTTTTCTATTTAAGGTGTGTGTGTCTGTGTGTCAAGATTTAAGGAGAAATGGCAGTCCTTAAACATATTAAGGATTCTGTCAGCAAAGACCAAAAATATTGGTTTTGCCACCTCCAGCACAGGCATCTTACCAGTCTTGTTTCCTGCAGGTTTTAAGGCCAAAATGTCCTTTTTATAGTGGCGATTTTAATTGTAAGAAAATTTCCCATCTCAGTGACTAGCAGCCAGAATTACCACATAGGGTTGAAACTGTGTGCCTTCAACAGGCCATTTCAAGAAATAAATACTTATGTTGAGAAATAAAAATGGCTGACTTACTCGTAGCTTGGAATTCAGCATTCCCATCTCAAGATCATTTTCACAGTTTTTGGCCTTAGATTTGCAGAGTTTTATGAGGCACATTTTTATTCTCATTATGAGATAATAAAATGACTTAGGGCTTGGCACTAGATTAAAAGGAGCAGGTAGAGTTCTTCCCTCATCAAAATAGGAAAGCCAGAGTTTAGCACGTGCAAATTTCCACTCCACATCTGCATCTTCCTGCAAAAGGAATAGAAGAAGTGATTTAAGTAAAAAGATTAGTTTTTGAGAAGGTGCATGCCTCATTGTCATTGTTATAGATTTCAAGAGCTGCATTTAGTTTTTCAAGGTATTAAAATGTTTTGTCCCAAAGTCATCCTTTGTAAGATCATTATTCTAATTTTCCTTTGAAATAAGCCACTAAGAAAAATTCAATACTTTTCCTTTATCACTATATGATCCTGTATAGAATCGCAACTTGTAGTTGCACTACTTAACTAGGGTCACTGGAAAAAAAGATCTAAATTTTCAAAATGTCCTTTATGATTAAAATTTAAGTCTAACTTTAATGGCCTTGGATCTAACAATGTACAAACAAATTAATTTTTCAGTTAAAATATTATTGAAGGAGTCAAGGACCATGAACTACACTGAATAAGAATATACAAAAATGATTCCTATATTAATTTAAATAGCATTTTTCTTCTGTTTCCCTATTTTCAAATTACTTTTTCCACTGAGTATCCCTGAAATGAATTGAAGCCAAGTTAATTAAGTTCCTAGGCTTCTGATATAAAAGACCATAAACCAGAAAAGCTCCATTGTCTGATAGACTTGGAAAACAATCAGAACTAAAAATTAAGTCTCTGCAAGAGATTCCTAATTGGTGTTTTGTTTTTGAATTACATTTTGAATTACATTTTCAGGATGGCAATCATTATTTATGTAATAAGTAACCAATCCTTTAACAATTGCATATTCAAATTCAAAGGTTAATTGACATTACTATCAAGCTTTTCAAAACCAGAAGAAGGATTCAAGGTGTTTCTATCCATTAATTAATGTTCTGCTTTTTACACAATATATTGATATATTAAAGTGATAGATCACTCTTACCTCAATTTCCTGATAAGAATTGTTGATCATGGCTATTAACATGTTGAGGAGGACAACCACCATGGTGACGTTATAAACCCCATAGAGCACATATCCAATATTCTCAATAAATTTGTGATCATATTTCAGCACCACTGATATTACCTCAGACAAGCCAAATATCGACCAGAATAAAGTTTTAAAGCTTTCTTCTACCCTAAAGATAAAATGAAATCTTAATTAGCAATTTGGGTCTGAGCTGGGAATACATCATCAACCAATCATTGTTTCAAGCTGAGGAAGTGCTAATAAACCAACTTTAAAAAAAATTATCCTGAGAATTTAAACAAAAGACACTTCCGAACTTGATGTTGCCAGCAAATTTTGGTAAAGCCATTTTGTGTGTTTTGTGAACCTGAACAAATGGTTTCTATTTTACAGTTTATGCTTATTTAGTCTTATTTCAGCATCCAGAAACCAACACTTTATACATTATACATTATATTATACATTATAATATGTGAACTCCGCAAAGCTACCACCTTTCGTTGAATGGGCTGCTGAAATGAATTGAATTGAAAAAAATGTAGACCATCCAGACATACACTATGAGGTAATACTATATCAATAGTGAGCTTGCCTTTGTCCTATTTTATGAAGAGCCAAATCATTCCCCAATCTAAAGTGCTGATTAGCAAACTGTTATCCCTCAGCACTTGGATATATTAGACTTCTTCCCAGAATTGAATCTGTCTGTTCAGTCTGGTCATCTAGACAAGAATGCCGCTCCCCCATGAAAAATACTCAGGGGGGGTAGACTAAGTGCCAGACGGTCTCTGTGGTAATCCCCACTTTTTGGAACATTATTTGTCCAGAAGCAGGTGCAGCCTCATCTCTCTTAGCTTTCTATAAACACTAAAAACTGCTTCTAGAGAGCTTTAGCCTCAGCTGAATGTGATAGGGATGGTTATTAGTGTTATAAACAAGAATATAAGAAAACAAATACATATGGCTTACATACTACTCCATTTCTGAGATTTTGAGTAGCTTACAAATAACAACATAAAGTTAAATTATAAGCAATCAGTAACACAACAAGGTTTGGAGATTCATCAACCAAGCAATAGAAAGTTTCAATGTCTCTCTTGAAAATTTTGCATGAGGGAGGGAAGAATATACAATCAAGGGAAAGGCTGCTCCAGGCATGGAGGGACAGGACTCAGAAGGCCCTACCATGGAGTCTTTGTAGAAAGCATTGCCTCACATTTTGGGCTATCAGCAAAATACCTCTCTGCTACATAGCACCGAATAGGCAGATTTAATTTAGGAAAGGCAGAGAAATCAAGGCTGTAAATCTGGATAAAAAGTGAATTATCCATTATAGATAAGTATAACTATTTTATGATATGATAATTGACTTATACTTGAAAACATTCATTGATCACTCCAGTTTGAAAATGGGCCTTAAATCCTTCTTAAGAGAAATCTTCATTATCAACTGGGAATTATATTTATTATCTCACTTTTATTATTCACCTTTATTATTTTTTTATAAATAACTCAGGGTGCCAAACATACCAAAAACCCCTTCATCCTCTTCCTATTTTCCCCACAACCACCACTACGTGAGGTGGTTTGGGCTAAGAGATAGTGATTGGCACAAAATCACCCAAGAAGCTATTTAGTCTACTGATAAGATAACAAGACTTGATTATTTAATCTACAATTTCATATTATCTGCGATAATTTTGGAGAGAGAGATGTTTTGAACTAGTACTTCCAGCATGTTATGGGTTCTAGATGTCTTCCCTGATTTATTTTTTTCAATTTATTTTTTTCTTTCAAAAGTACATGAAAAACAATAGTGAACTAGTTAGTAATAACTGCAAATAAGGTGATTTGCAGTTATTACTAACTAGTTCACTATTGCTAAGGTGATCTCAGATTAGCTATTTTCCGTTGGCCAAAGGGAAGCAATTGGCAGAAGCAAAGGATGGGCTTTCCAATGTACAGATGCAAAGCTGTTACCTGGCTAACTGCACCTTAAATGGGCATGGAAACAATAACTGTCACAGCTGGCATGGGTAAGGCTCAACAATAACCTCTCTCTTGCTTTGATAATAAACACATTTCATATTCCCCTCACTAGATTTTAAGAAATGAAATTTAATTTGAGGTATGGGTTGATTCAGATGCATTGGACTCCATTGTATTTTTCTTACTTGCCTGATACCTGCCATTCAATCATTTGGTGCACAGTTTTATTTCACTTTTGAGATATAAAATGCACTCTTTTTTAATATTGCCTCAGATAGGAAAATGTTAAATACCACACAGCACTGATTGATATTGAATTTTTAATATCCATTCTTAACATGACGCAGTTCAGAGAGCTGTGGCATGGATTTTCTTTTTTGTTCTTCATTATACCATCAAGACAAGTAAATGTCTTCATAAAAACAAGTGCTAGAACAAGGTCACTTTTTTCTATGAAATATTACATTTAACTTTGATGCCTATAGCATGATATTATCTCACTTTGTTTTAATTTGGAAGGTTGTATTTTATTATTATTTTCCTATTTACAATTTTAACAGTTGCATGAATTTGACTGCATTTCCTGAATTAGCAGATCTACATTAATGTTGCCTAGCAACCAGGTTGAGCTAAAAGTGTTTGAACTTCTTGCTGGCAGCAGTCAGCCCTATTTAGCTAGACCTGCCAGAACTTGGCTGTTAAAATCCAGATGGCCTCTGAATGGGACCACAGACACAGAAAAATCTTTGCTGCCCTCTAGTGGCTCCTTTGATTTTCCTAGGCTAAACTTGGTAGCAATAAGTTTAGTGCTTGGACAGAGAACCATATAAGAATTCTTGGGATATAGAGTAGACTACACTTGGCATATATAGTAGCTTTTTAAAATATTACTAGAATGGTTAAGCTACATTGCTCTACTGCTGTGGAACAGAGAAGGGCTCTTTGCTTCACAATATTCTTGAACAGGATGTTTCATTCAAAGGTGCATCAACATTGTTGCATATCCCTTGTCCATGTATCAAATATGGCTTTTCTAATGTACAAGCAAGCATTTTGTTTGTGTGCAAAGGTTTTATACACCTAAACACTCATTAATGGATATATGGAACTCAGAGATCAGGGTCAATAATTTTCATCCCTAATATTTTTCATTCACATCTGTTTTACCATGTGGACTACAATATGAAGCAACATTAAAACGTCTGCCCTCTCCCTGGCCAAGCCCAAATAAACCACTTCTTCCCTGAGAAAAAGCCTTGGAGTGGCTGTTCCTTGATAGTTACTTCCATTTGTTCATCATTCATCTTCAGTCATGGCCATAGGCAAGGATTTTGTTCCTCCTAACTCTGTTCAGGCATGGCATTTCTAATGAGTTAAAAAATGGCTGTTTGTAGGAGTATTGAAAGGAATGCTGAATCTGCAATTTTGATCTCTGACTTTTCCACAGGAAGGAAGTCTCAGTTGACTTTTCAGATCAAAGATTGTATTAGCTTTCTGAAAAGAAAGCACCATGTTCAAATATTTATGCTTTGAATTTGGAAAGCAATTTTTTGAAGAAAGAAAGAAAGAAAGAAAGAAAGAAAGAAAGAAAGAAAGAAAGAAAGGAGGGAGGGAGGGAGGAAGGCTTGAAAATATAATGGGTAAAGAAGCTGCTTATTGATGTATATCAATAAGCATTAGCCTTATTCCCTTATTCTCTCCTACTTAATGTCTTCACTAAGAAAAGAAAATCTTGAGCCAAATCTGTTAGGAAAAAAAATTTTTTTTAGGCCTGATTCACACACTAAAAAATAATAATCAAGCAAGTCCTTGGTAGAATATGGAAATTTTAGATTGCTGAATGGACCTACAACAAAACATGTTCTTGATATTGAAATAAGCATCTTTTAGCTTAACCCAGCTTCTAACATCCTCTACATCATGTTCCATTTTTACCAGCTTTTGGCCATTATTCAATCCTTTTCTCAATTCTTCTGAAAAGGTGTGTTACCCAATTTATCAGACATTAAAAGCCATGCATATTTTGGCAAAAGTAATGTTGGGCAACAATAACATAAGATTCCTTCTTTCAGTTATAGCGACTTTTCTTTCTAAGCAAGAATTAATACCATTGATCCACCTAGCGGCAAGGAATTCAGTAAAATATTAACTGTGCTTTTCAAGAGCTGCCTTTTGAATTTAATAAAACTGAACTCACCCCCAAAGACAAATAACATTATAATAACCCAAACTTGCTGGGTAAAAGAAGTCTTCTGCCTTTTAAATTTGGAAACTTGTTAACATATGAGTCATTAACATATAATGTTTGCAGCTCCTGTTGGTTGACCAGGGTTTTTAAACATTGTCAAATTAAAAGAGATAAAGGAAGAAGAATGATTCTTAGGTATCTTTAATGAGATTTTGTACCTTATAGGACTGGGTTGATCAGTGCTATTGTAGAGAATGAAAGATCTATATAACAAGCCAGTGGTAGGATTCAGCCAGTTAGCACCACTTCAGGAGAACCGGTTGTAACTTTGAGTTTGGTGAGCTGGTTGTTGGAAGAAATCATTAGGGCAGAGAACTGGTTGTTAAATTATTTTAATCCCACCACTGTAACAAGCCTTTGACATGAAAGGCATGATTGTAAAAAGGGTTCTTTTTGAAATCTTTGAAACACAAAAAGAGAATGAAAGGGAATTTGGAAAAGGGTGTTTTCTAGCTTGGAAGCAATCTCTATGACTTTGTGTGGAAAACAATTCAGCTCATGGTTTTTTTTTTATCTCAGTTCAACCATAGTGATAAACAACAGCCTTATCATGAATGAGCCAAGGTGGCGCAGTGGTTAAATGCAGCACTGCAGGCTACTGCTAGATCAGCAGGTCAGCGGTTCAAATCTCACCGGCTCAGGGTTGACTCAGCCTTCCATCCTTCCGAGGTGGGTAAAATGAGGACCCAGATTGTTGGGGGCAATATGCTGACTCTCTGTAAACCGCTTAGAGAGGCCTGTAAGGCCTATGAAGCGGTATATAAGTCCTACTGCTATTGCTGTTGCTATCTCTAAGGCTCTTTTTCCTCATTCAGTACAAAATATCAAATGCCCACAAGGTTCCATTATATCCAGAAAGTGGAAATTGTGCAAAGGTCTTGTAATTTAACTACTATTTGCAAAGCCTTCCATTAGAGATCAAATTTCAATAG